ATATTTACAAAACGCATTTACGTTGGTCAGTGAAAACTTTGGAAATATTTTCTTTGTACTTTTGTCAATTAAATAAAAGCTAACCAATATCCAAAACATCTTAACAGTTCATATGAAACACATTATATTGTTTATTATTTAATTATTTATTATTATTCATCATGTATTATTTATTTATATTAGTTGTTATATATTCGTTTTTTACATACATTAACATAAAATAACAATAAATCATTTATTACAATTAAAATATGTACTTTTAATATAAAATAAAAATATTTTATTATAGAATATTTTATAATATTCATAATATGTTATAGTATGTTCATAATTGATATCAATGATAATGAAAACAATAATTAAAAAATAAAAATAATTTGCCATGCCAAGGTTGTTCTGTTGGGAAAATATCCATCAATCTTTGCTAATGGAACGATGGTTTCTTCTATTTATATCCACACAATATAGAATGTATGCAAATGTGGTGGGGCTGAGGGATCACGGGTACAGAGTGATGCCTCGGGTTGAACAGACGCTCGTGGGCTATCTGTCTCCCAGCACAGCATCGTCTCTAAAGGCCCCGGCATTGCCCTCCAAGCTGCTACGGATCACCTCTGCACTGGTGGGCAAAGGCTACATGGCAGCGGGTCAGGCTGGTGCTTGCCTGCACACCATGGCGGTGTTACAGGCATACTAGGCTGACCTGCTGAAGGAGCTAGATGAGGGGGAGGAGGCGAAGTCCGAGGACATCACCGAGCTCTGGCGCACCGCTGACTTGTCTCTGTGTGCCACTAAAGAGACTGCCAGAGCAATAGTGTGGTCTATGGCAGCCTTGGTGGCCACAGAGAGGCATTTGTGGTTGACCCTGTCTGAGATTAAGGAGAAGGACTGGGTCTTCCTCCTGGATGCTCCGCTTGCACCTTCTGGCCTGTTCGGCGATGCTGTCAACTCGGTCGTCGACAGGTTTCAGGAGGCTCGTAAACAGGCGGTGGCGTTCCAGCGGTTAGACTATTTGGCAGTGTGGAAGCTTTCTGTCAAATGTGTCTCAATGGGTCCTGCACACTGTAGAAAGAGGCTACAGAATTAAATTCGCCACCTCGTTTCAATGGGGTACTTCCCACTCTGGTGGGCCCCGAGCAGGTTCTGGTAATGGAACAGGAAGTAAACACTCTCTTGTGGAAGGAGGCCATCGAGATGGTCCCACCTCGTGACAGAGAGTATGGGTTCTACAGCCGGTACTTCATAGTTCCAAAGAAGGATGGGGGGTTGTGTCCTATTTTAGATCTGTGTCAGTTGAACCGCTCAGTCTTGAGACTGAAGTTCAGGATGCTCACACCCAAATAGGTCGTGTCTCAGATCAGGTCTGGGCTCAGGTCTCAGATCAGATCTCAGATCAGGCCTTCCCCAACACAGGAAGTTCCTGAGGTTTGCTTTTCGGGGCAAAGGTTGCCAATATCAGGTTCTTCCGTTCGGCCTTGCACTCTCACCCTGCACTTTCACCAAATGTGTGGATGCTGCTCTGGCTCTGCTGTGACTCCAGGGCATCCACATACTGAACAATATCGACGATTGGTTGATATTAGCTCAATCAGAGCAGACGGCAGTTCAAGATGTTGTTCTCGCACATATGAAAGTGCTGGGGTTAAGACTAAAGGCCAAGAAAAGTGTGCTTTCTCCAGTAAAGAGAACCACTTATCTAGGCGTGGTGTGGGATTCGACCTTGATGTAGGCACAGTTGTCTCCTGCTCGGATCGGTTCGATCCTCACGACAGTCGCGAGAGTGAGACTGCTTGACACTTACTGTCAAGCAGTTTCAAAAACTGCTGGGTCTGATTGCAGCTGTGTCCAACCTGATAATTTTTGGGCTGCTGTACATGAGACCCCTTCAGTGGTGACTCAAGACCAAGGGATTTTCCCCGAGGGGAATTCCACTTCGCATGATCAAGTTCACGATGTGATGCCTATGTGCCTTAGACATGTGGAGGAAGCCTTGGTTCTTGTCTCAGGACCCGGTGCTGGGAGCTCCTTGTCGCCGCATAATGCTAGCGACGGATGCATCCCTCACTGGTTGGGTGGATCGGTCATGAGTGGTCTGTGGAGCAGCTGCCATCTTATGTGGCACATCAACTGCCTGGAGATGCTGGCCGTGTTTTTAGCATTGAAATACTTTCTCCCAGACCTAAGAGATCACCATGTGTTGGTGCGCACCGACAAAAAATAAGAGCAACAAGCAATAGCACAAAATAACCTACTATACAACAAAGATACAAATGGAACAGGGCATTTCAGGCAGGTCTAATTGTGAGTTTCAGGTAGCCTACAGAAATTAAAGTTCAATTGTGTGATTGTTTTTTTTCTTTGTCCTATTTTCTTTGATCAACATTAAAAATGCAGACAACAGCAGGATTGTTGGAATTCAGAGTCCATCACTTTGACAACGTGTCTACAACCGCAGTAGCTTGAAGTTGTCAACACTGAATGCGAGAAAGCGGCCGTTGCTTGAACTATTTCAGAAATAGAAAGGGGAATCCGTTTACTTTCGGGAATTTGTTGTGTTGCGCTGCGCTGCGCTGCATCCTGTGTAGACAATATCACTGATTATAATGGGTTCTATTGTCTTTTGGCACATTGCGTCGCGCGCGGTTTATTTCTGGTTTCTTTCTCAGCTGTTCATGTTCACTTAAGAACCAACTACTTTACTAGGATACTCACCGAGATGGGCATTTTTACATAATTTTGCAGTGCACCAGTCAAGTGCAGGAAGGAAGCAGAGGTCAAGACACGGTTTTCAGGCCGGGGTTTCAGATGTTTAAGCTTCCAACACAGCGCGCGAGTAACGCGTGTCCTTTCGTGTGTTCTAGCTTGAATATTTACATTGCAAAGGCTTAAACTTTTGTGATGAAGCAGCACTGTCAACTGTACGGGTGTCGTTCACTTTTGTTCACGTTTATGTTCTCACTACATTGCACTAGAATTGTTAGAATTTATAAAAATGTTACCGGCCTTCTGGCGATTGACACAGTTTCATATACTCGCCAAAGCCGATTTTTACTCGCATGATGCTGAGCATCTCCGTCCGTGATTTGCTGCTCTTTCAGTTTGCTGTATTTGAGTCTTTTGTTTCTGCTTTCTTCATGTTCTTCACGTTCTCCTCCTCGGTTTAGCCTGATAATGTCGTGTGGGAGAAGATAAAACGCTCCGACTGCTCTATCATTTGCCAGATAAAATTCAGCTGTAAACAGTCTGCATGCTGAATAAGAGGAGAGGAGGATCTGAAACGCCACAAACCACCGTCTATTCAAGCGTTTGTCTTTCCAGACGACCATCTTCTAATGAGTCTCTTAATGAGCAGCTCATTTTTATTTCCATCACGTCAGATTCAGAAACTCTGCTTAAAAACAACATCAAACTACCCTGAACTTCTGGAACGAGAAGCAGAGAGTGTGCAGTGAGGCTTTGACAGGATTTGATTGAATGGAGAATGTTAAGCTGCAGTATTATTGGTTATTTTTCCCCTCCCATGTCTCGATGACATCAGCAGAAGAGGAAAATGTCACAGTCATTATATATATAGTGATGATGCTCACAAACGCCACTAATTAATATCTAAACTTGAACTTAAATCTCTGAATTAAAGGATTCATGCACAGTGATGCAGTCTTTATTATTTTTAGATTACTTTTTTTAGTTGAATTTATTTCAGTACACCAAGTTAAACTAAATCAAAATGAGAAATATATATATATTTTTTCTTTTTTTTCTTTTTTTTTTTTTTTAATAAAAAAATTGTTAACTTTGGTTTTGTTTTAATTGTAATTTTAGTCATTTTATTATGTGCTTTTCTCATTTTTATTAATATTTTTAGTTTGTGTGTATATTTATCATTTTATTAGTTATTGTTTTTAAACATTGTATTATACATAGTATTTATTAATTTTTATTTCAGTTTTAGTTGTAGTCATTGTAGTACATCAAGTTAAATTAAACAAAAATGACAAATAAAGTAAGTTTTTATATTTTATTATTTATAATAATAATAATAATAATTATTATTATTATTAATATTATTATGTTTATAAAATATATATATATATAATTACTAAAATTATTCCTAATAGTTTCAGTGTAGTTTTATTCCTCTGCCGTCAGTTTTTTGTCAATTTGAGAATCTTGAAGAGCTGCACTCTTAAAAATAAAGGTTCTTTATTGGCATCAATGGTTCCAGAAAGAACCTTTACATCCAAAGAACCTTTTCATTCCACAAAAGGCTCTTTACAGTGGAAAAAGGTTCTTGGATGATTAAAATGTTCTTCACACTAAGAAAAAATGGTTCTTTAAGGAACTGTTCACTGAAGGGTTCTTTGGGGGACCAAAACTGGTTCTTCTATGGCATCGCTGTGTTACTGTATTAACAGTCTTCTATCAACCAAGAAGTTGACTGAGGAAAAAGCCAGTGAAGAGCAGAAGCAGGAGACGAAGTGATGATAAAAGGAGAAGAGTTTATTGAATAGTTTTAGTTGCGTATGTTTCAAAGCTTCGTCTGACCAGCACACATTCAACAATTATTGTTCTACCAAACTGCTTCAAAACAACATCCCATAAACCTTGAGTTTCCATAAACATTCCCTCGTATCTCTCATTCATGAAGACAAACAGCCCTTGAAACACAGCCGTGAGACTAAACAACAGTGCAAAAATATTATAAAAAACAATAATATAATATAAATGCCTAATCAATTAATGAATCAATGGAATTAGTATATAAATGACTATAATGATTAAATGGAATAATAAAATGATTAAATAATAAATGATTATAATTGAATAAATGAATCTAAAAGAAAATAAAACACAACGCAAATGTATGGTTGCTCTCTTGAAGCAAAACACACACAGTTTGCATTTGAGGATCCTCAGATGCAGCTTTGGAAGCTTTATTTTTAAGAGTCAGTTGTGAGTCCTGTGCAGTGTTTTATGTTTGAGTTTCTGTGTTTGCTCAGCGCTGAAGAAGGGCCGCTTCTGGATCACTCCGGACCCTTACCACAACGACGACAACATCCAGATCGGCCGCGAGGTGAAGATCTCGTGTCAGGTGGAGGCCACGCCACCCGAGGAGCTGCAGTTCAGCTGGCTGAAGAACGGCCGGGCATTACGCAGCTCTGAGCGCATGGTCATCACGCAGACCGACCCCGACATCTCGCCCGGAACCACCAACCTGGACATCATCGACCTCAAGTTCACCGACTTTGGAACCTACACCTGTGTAGCAGCGCTCAGAGGAGGAGCCATCCCCGAGATCAGCATCGACGTCAACATCTCCTCCACCACTGGTGAGTCTCACACACACTATACACACACACACACACTCACACACTATATACACACACACATGCACACACACACACTCATACACTATACACACACACTATACACACACACACATACACTCACTCACACTCACACACACACTCTCAC